AGAGCTTCACAAATTCCCGGGGACAGAGACCGAAATTCAGCTTCCGCACTGTTCCGAGCAACTACAAATTGTTTATTGTTTTTCCATGTGATCAGGTTTCCCCAAAAAAATGAGCAGTACCATCAGGTTGACTAGGCCCAATTCGTGTATGTATAAAATGTAATAGAACGAGAGGTATGGTAGAAAAAAATTGAACCTAGTATGTCTTTTAAATAGTGGAGAATATGGTAGACAGCTTAGAGATGGCGCTCATTAAAATCATGCATGAATTGACTGACTATCTCAACTGAGTGACAAATGTCGGGGTGTGTATAGGCAAGATAGATGAGCTTCCCCACAAGGTGTTAGTATTGAGACTTGTTTACAGGAACTGCATTGGGAACATTAAGAAATTTTTCATTGGGATCTATCGAGCAACCACTGGTTTGCACAGAAGAAGATTGTACTCTATCAAAGGTTTAATCACATATTTCCACTAAGAGGGGCAAATATCCTAAGATGGTCGAGCAACTTCCATGTCTAAAAAGTACCAAAAAAATCTCAAATCCTTCATTTAGGAAGTAACAAGAATGACTTTCAGAGACTCCAATGTTGGTAGATCATTATCTGTGCGAACAATATCGTCAACATAGACGATAAAGATAGCTACCTGGTCGCTGGAGGAATGTTGGAGGAAGAGAGTGTAGTCTAATTGAGCTTGAGTGAATTCATGGCCTACCATCACCTTTTTGAACATCCCGAACCATGCCCGTGGTGATTGTTTTAATTCATAGAGGGATTTTTGCAGCTTACGTACTTACCCCTGGGAGGCAATGGAGTCAAAACCTAGAAGAAGAGCCATGTATACCTCCACTGTAAAATTGTCATTCAAGAACACATTCTTGGCATCAAACTCAAATAAGGGTCAATCCAGATTCACTGCAAGGGATAAAAGGAATCAAATGGTGTTTAATTTAGCAACTCGAGCAAATGTCTCTTCAAAATCAACTCCATAGATCTCTGAGTACGCTTTGAATATCAATTGTGTCGTGTTGTGTTCAAAGGATTGATCAGATTTACACTTGATTCTAAAAATTCATCATCATCCGACTACTTTCTTGCCCCAAGGAAGATAAACAATGTCCCAATTATGGTTCTATTGATGAACATTCATCTCCTCCATGACAGCAGCTTGCCAGGTTAGGTTTGCTAACGCAACCTCAATAGTAAATAAAAGTCGATAATTGGTCTAGGTTGTATCAAATGCTCTGTAGCTTGGTGATAATCTGCAAAAAGAAACATAATTTGCCACAGGATGGAGAGAGCATCTCTGATTGCGTACCTTACTAGCAGAACTGAATTCCTCATTTGGAGAAGAAGCAGTGTTGGGAATGTCGTCCGGAGGGGATTCAGGGTCCAATAAGGGGTTAGCAAGCTTCAGAGTACGTGCATTAAAACAAGTGAATCGAGTGTAGCACGGAGAGTAAGAGGATGTACTGGTGGAACCAAAGAGACATAAAGCTCCTTGGTGGTAGGAGTGGTGGTCAGAGCCAAAGAAAGAGAGGGTTCCTCGATTGTAGATAACGTGGGGGGAACATCCACAGAAGTAAGGTAAGGAACAACGTCCAATAATTCAAGTCCCCCTCACTGTTAGCCGAGTTAGGAAAGTATGAAACACTTTCAAAAAAAGAGACATCATCACTCACAAAGAACTTGTTTGTGGTAGGGTCAAGGCACCGATACCACTCAGAGTATCTGAGGAAAACACATTGTATGAACTTGGGATCAAGTTTACTCCAAGTTATAGTTATGTTCTGAACAAAAGTTGTACACCCAAAAATTTTAAGACCTAAAGTGGAGAATACTTGATTGTTAGGAAAAGCATGATCCAAGAAGGCCAAAAAGGTACAGAAGTTGTGAGTTTTTTAGGGAACTCAATTGATGAGATAATTTGCAGTAAGAATTGCATCATTTCAAAAACATTTTGGGACATTAGAGTGAAATATAATAGAGCGACTAATGTCAAGAAGATGTCAGTTTTTTCTCTCGACTACCTCATTTTGTTGAAGAGTGTTAGTACATGAGCTATGATGAATAATGCTCTTCTTACCAAGAATTCTATTAATATAGAGTTAAAAAATTCACAATCATTGTCACTTTGAATGACTTGAATAAAAGTTTTAAATTGGGTCAAAATGAAGGTATGGGAGTTTTTGAAAGTGACATCAGCTTCAGATTTATCTTTTAAAATATAGACTCATCACATCCGAGTGTGGTCATCAATCAAAGTAAGGAATCACCATTTATTGGTGTAGGTAAGGGAACGAGAGGGTCCCCATAAGTCACTGTAAATAAGAGAAAAAAGTGCAGAAGATGTGTAATTGTGGGGTGGATACGGAACACGATGATTTTTAGTTAACTAACAGATTTCACATTTGAAATTATAAAAATTTTGTTAGTAAACATCAATGGATATAACTATTTTAGATACTGAAAACTAGGATGACCAAAATGACGGTGTAACAGCATAATAGGACATTCAATGAACTAAGATAAACTGCAACTACTGGGTGAATTATCCTCGCTCTTCGTGTTTTTCTCTTGAAAGAAGTAGAGCCCGCCAACCCGCTTAGCAGTTTCAATCATCCGCTCTGAAAGACGATCCTGATAGACAAAGACATCAAAAGAAAAATGAGCAATACAATCAATATCATATGTCAGCTTATTGATAGATAAAAGCCGACACTTTAGCAGAGATACATGTAATACAAATTATGAAGTTAGACCTGTTGTTAAAATAACAAACCATTTACCAACAATGGAACTTTGCGGCTCGTCAGCAATTTTAACAATATATTTCCTTAGCAAGGATAGTATGTCGAAAAGGCTTAAAAGTTTCCAGTCATGTGGTCTGTGACAACTGAATCAATGATCCATATATTAGAAGAGGCATTCAAAGGATTAATACCTTGAAGAACGTGGGAGGTCGACGGGCCAGAAGAGAGCAAACTAGACCCAAGCAGCTTGATTAAGTGCTCTATTTGACTTTAAGAGAATTAGAGAATTCTGGAATTTTCTGGGTAGAGGACGGTTGTACCGTGTTGGATTTAGAAGTTATAGTGAGACCCTTAACAGTGGAAGATTTGGCCGATGGTTTTGATGCAGGTTTCCTGTAGAGCTTCCAACATTTATCACGAGTGTAGTTGGGTTTGTGACAATAATCTGGGGTTAAAAGTTATTGTCGTTTAGTTTATGGGTTGTAATTAAGAAGATTATGTTGTTTTCCCGTCCACTAGTTTGTAGAGGAACGGAGTTTGGAATTGACCCTCCAATGCAATCAAGTTCACTTTAGGAGTCTGCCATGATTCCATCTGATCCAAAGGAAATGATAACTTGTTGAGACATCGGATGATTCCGGAAGCAAGAGGGGATAGATATGGCCTACGGAAGAAGCTCTGGAAATCCAGGAAACTGACTCAGACAACCTTCCTCCGAGGCTAGAAACATGTATGGCCAGCTGGACAAGAAGAATGCCAATGTACTGGCGAACTTAAAGGGAGACCGAGCAATCAGGCTCTGTTCCCGGCAGCTGGGCAGTCAGGACGTTCCTTCTAGAGCAACATCCGACCGACAGGAGGTAAAAATGGCGCCTAGAAGAACCTATAGCTGACTGGACTGGACGAGAGAGAGAGAGATTATGAGATCCGGCTGGCTGGAGGAAGGGACAGCACCGGAAAGAAGCAACCGGAGGCAACAAGAGGCCCAACAACTAATAACTTAGAATAGCTTATTGATGCAAAGAGAGGTATCAATACCCATTACAGTATCTCTATTAGAAAGGAAAGAAATAAAAACAAGACATAGTAGAAAAGGAAGGGAATAGTAAAGCATCCAAGCTAATAACTTAGAATAAACATAAATTAATAATGGTTAAAACTAGCCATTTATAAATATTCTAATACAGTTATGATAACCTTTAAAAAGTGAAACTCGTCTTTTCATATATAGATAAAGTGGTATATGTGAAAATTAAAGTTTTTGTGTTAGATATGTAAATACATCGAAATTGAGCTCATGAATTTTGGTCACTTTATTTTGAGCCTTAGTAAATTTGATTCCTCAACAAAACAATTTGAGCTAAATATTCGTCTACTTGCGAGAATTTTGATTTTTTTTTTTTGGTTAAAAAACAAACTTAAGTCTCACATTAAATGGACTAAATAATAATAATAAGCATTCCCATTTTGGTCAATTCTTCCAATAATACACCCGTCGTGTTTTCTATAAATTAATAAAAAAGATAAACATAAAAATGGAACAGCTCAACAGGAAATGATGAAATTGCCATGCAGCTTTGAAATTCCCAAGGGACTTGAAGTAAAGTCTATCGCCAATCACAAGAAAGTAACATACCCGAACAGATGATAACAGCATACACTGTCACTATTATAATTAGCCTTGTAGAAATAAAACAGGGTTATAAACTAGCAAAACAAAAATGATAAAACCATACACTATATAAATTTTAAACACTAATATTCTCACTAGGTGTACCAAGACCCCGGGAAGCATGTAACTGAACTTCAACATGCCCAGCAAACAGTAGGTGCTCGTTCACTTTTACCACTACTTTGTGCATAAAAAAGTATGGGGGACTTCAAATTATCAAGCACAGCTACTCAATCTCACGGTTCGCCATGTGTGAAGGTCAAACAAACTTATCCAAACAAAGCGTAAGTTGAACTCAATGAAATAAACAACTCCGTTGCCCAATGACTTTAGCTATAAAAATTATGTAAATGTGCGGATAAACAAATATAATCCAAATGGATTGAACCAGTTTAAATATGACGATAACAAGCCAGTGCCATCTTTTGTAATATCTAAATTAAATTTATAACATAACTGAATATAATACTTAGCAACATAGTTTTGAAAACACTCAATGGAATTAACATATAAAAACCTTTGCAGACACAGTAAAAATAAAATACGAAAGCTTTCAGAATCAGTTCTCATACCTTCGGAGCAGCCATGGGATATTCTTCAGGAAGAAACAGCTCAAGTTTAAAAACCCCTCCTAATCAAAAAAAATAAATCAAGCAAAAATGCATAAGATTCTAATGAGAGAACATAAAAAAGGTTATACATAGAAATATGACTTTTATGAAAAATCATCATCATTAGTTTTTTGACTCATTGAACTTCTTAAAGTTACCTTAATGAACCAACCTGTCATTTATTCCTTTTAGGTTTGCAAGTAGTGTTAACTCCATGTTAGATAAATCCTATCATGTAACTTCCCTTGTCTTTCTTTTCACACCCATCAATTTTCCTAAATTTAATGTAGGATGAAAATTTGAACGTCCAAGTCCATGTGTGGATCGTCCGAACATGCCCAGAATTGGACAAGGCCAGTCCAATCCGTCGCCAGTCCTAGGATTTCCACCCCCTTGAGTAGGCTGACCCCCTCTAGAGCAATTATTTACTTTATTTGGGCTAAAAATAGGGCTATCTTTGCTTCTTGAGTATAAATATGATATTTAGAACTATGCTATTTGATTCAATAATTCTATGTTAATTGATTGGTACACTGTGACTCCTATAGAGAGATGATTATTCACTTTGGATTTTAATTTCTGCTTATTTCGTCATCTCTTTCGAGGATATCATTATACTTCAGGAGAGAACCGATGCTTGAGCCAGTTACACAACCCTCAATCTACATGAACCTTGGTTGAGTTGAACTACAATCAAAAGTGCTAACCCAAGGGATTTTAATGATTATAAATAATGAAATTGGATAATGATCATGAACTTTTTGGATTAATCCATTTCATAATCCCATCAATCTTTTGTGTGTTGTTAGATGTTGGATTCTTCAAGTACAGGCACGACTACTACAAGCATAACTACGAATTCCGAGCATGCCCATTGCCTTGTGCTGTTTGAGGACTAATGTCTTGGTGAAGTATTGCTTTAATCTTCTCGTTTGTGTCAGTTGTGTTTGTTTTGCCAGTGTTTCTTATTTTTATTAAATATGATACAAATTCAATTTTCCTGTTGCAGTGTGAATCCAGTCCGAGTTAGATTTTCTATGGTATTTAACTATAATTTACTTTGGATTAATTAGTAATAAAATTACTGCTTAGTATGGTTTTCTTGTATTTTCCAGTTCAATCAAAAGAGGACAAATCTCTATTTGATCGAAACCCTTTCAATTTGTGAATTTATAAAATTGTGTGGTTTCATACGTTTGCAATATGAAGTTGCATCATGGACCTTAAGGTTTCAACAATAAATCTGCTACATCGGCATTAAAATGCAAGGTTACTTCATTATGTAAACTAGAAGGGGGACGTATTAATCGGGCAATAAAAGACAAAAAATATCATTTAAATGAAATATTATAAGCTATGCATATTGAAAACTATAACGTGATTATTTAAACATTTAAAATATATTCCTCCATTTTATGGTAGGTTTAATCTATAAAATTCTTAAATGAGATCAATAATTTAGAGAATTTCATTTAAAGATAAGATGACTGATTTCCAAAGACATGAATATGCAAAATCAAAAATAGAGGGACATACTCATTAATTTGGAGAAGCATTGCCATCAAATCTACATAGCTAAAATGATATATAAGCTTGAGAAAAAATTTTCATTTAGTGATTATAAAGATCAACTGCATGTCAATTTAAAAGGTGTAAACAGGATGATTATGGTAAGTTTGAATATTATGCAGAATTTACTAAGCCTTGTAGGTATACACTATTTTCTACAAAGCTATTATAATAACATTATATTTTTCGTTAAAAGTATTAGGAAAAAAATTATGGATAATATAGAATTAAGTTATCATTCATTAAAAATATTGCATTTGATTTTATGCAGATTTTCAAATTTTAAGAAATATTACATTCACTTTAATAGAACCAGTATATATCATATGCTTTAAAGTCTATCAAAGGCATCAAGGACAAGTATAATACAAGGTCGAATATATATTAATGAAAGCACTATAGTTCATAAATATTCTCCAAGGGATTTAATAGATGCAGAAGATGATTTATAGTTGCAACATGAATATATCTCTGATATTGTTGAATCAGAATATGCACATTTATTTAAGTTTTGAGACTAAAATTAAGCATGGACCTAAGCTTCTAATATAAATTGAGTATATTCTAGACATTCAACTGAATCAATCATATCTACTATAGTTAATGAATGGAATGAGCAATCCATAATGCAACCCTTGAGGGCTTTTCTATGAAAATTATCCCTATAATACACCATCAAACTGATATTGATTTTATTTTTAGTTCTTGGTTTCTTGATTTGCGAACTTATAAATAAATATTATGAGGAGAATTAAATAGTGCTAATATTTTAAGCCAATTGGGTCAGCTTTGTTTAAGATCATGCAGTTTATCCGTTTTCAACTTTCTTTATCACTCGTCTTCTGGAAATTAGTTATAGGTCTTTATTGCTAAAAATAAACACGTATAATAACAAATTAAAATTTTCATTACTTGTATCATACTATATTCATTATTTCGACTATTTAACTCATTTGCATGAAAAAAAATTCAGGAAATATACTATTATTATAACAATAACATGTTAATTGTTGATGTGCAAAAAAGATGTGGAATTTCATCAAATGATAATGCATTAGTATTTGTGAATCCTACCATGATTCTTACAGGAGTTCTTAAGAAAATTAATGCAAGAAACGAGAGACTATATAAATCATGCCATGCATTGGGATAAACACTTAAAAATTGGAAGCTCTAGAAAATTCTGACAGCCATTCACTTCAATATGTCTTTCATGAACCTGCAACCAATGCTTTGGATTACTATTTCTTTCTACCACCTACTTATGAATTCACATCTAAGATAATGCTATAGTGTTCTACATAGCTAATTCTAAAGAATATATTAGATAATGAACATGAAACCAATGGCTTAGATTATTATTTCTTTCTAGCTTATAATTATGAATTTACATCTAAAAGACAGTCAGACGTATTTTATTTTGGGCATTATATTGGATAATTACATTATTTCTGCTATAAATGGTGGATTTGCTCATTTTGTGAATGTACATGGGGCATAGTTTTGTACACCCTTTTGTAACTTTTTTGTTTTTAATTTAATGTGATATGCGCACCATTTAAATAAAAATGGTGGATTTTAAAAATATTTTGTAAACATCAGCATGTATAATGATCCATGGATTACATTGCAAGAAGCACAGCATTTATATATTGATCTTCAAGAGAACGTCAAATGCAAAATTAGACATAGCCAAACTTGTTAAAGTAGAAAGATTTGATAGAAATATAAATGGCTAGATTCTTTGAAAGCGAAATTATGCATTATGATTAGAGAGGTAGCAAGATAAATGCAGTTTGCACCTTAGTTCTTCTACTCTTCAACTTCCAATTTAGTAACTTCTGTTTCTAATATGCGGAAACATCTAATATGAGGATACTATGAGAACCAGATGTGTTCTCTAAATAGTTAAGATTCAATAATTTGGTAGTTGTGTGGGTTAGTTTGGTCATTGGTTCATTGATTTGCTTATGTGTATTGGTTCGATCATTGATTCTTTAAGTTGGTATTCAATTCAATGGTTCCATCCCATGTGTTAGTTTACGTGGTGTTACATGAAAACATTTTAATTGATTCATATAGGAATGAGTGAACTTTTGCCATATGAATCCTTGCAACCTATTGAACTATCTTGATGTATGGCTTTTGTAGTGGCTAGAGTATTGTGGTTATTATAGTAATATGATTTTTAGTTTTGTATTAATATTATGCTTATCCTCGTACCTACTTTTCTGGACACCATTGTGCTCCAATAGAGGATTGATACTCATGTTGATCACAAGCAACTTTATCCACATGAAACCTGGTTGATTTGAACAACAATCACAACTGCTAACCCTAAGGAATGCGTGGTTATAAATTAAAATTTTAAGTCATAAGAAATAATTTTTCAACTTAATAAATTTAAAATTCCTTTCACTATTGTTTATGCTTGCTAGATGTTGAATTCTTTGAGCGCATTACATGTGTGACTAACAATTTCTTGAGGAAGTTTTCTCCTTGCATTAACGTTAAGTCCTGATTTTAGCCACTTTTGATGAATTCTTACTTTATCCTTTTCGTATATGCTATTTGTGATTGGTTTTACAAGCACTATATCCGATACAAACTGAATTATCAGATGGAAAATGTAAGTCTCTTTTGAGTTTCTTTTTAATGGTCATGATTTTATTGATGAATTTCTTTGATTTAATCAATCATGAAATTATTTTTTTGGAGTTGATTTTAGTATTTTCTGGTTTTCAACAAAAGAGAATGAGATTTTCTTTATTGGTGGTTTTGGATTTGATAATTCCAAATTTGAATTGTGTTTTTATATATTTGTATCATTTAGTTGCATTAGCAATTCTAAGCTTCAAGAGGACTTATATGGTGAAGTATCAAAACTAGCAACGCATTAGCAAAGTTAGCAAATATAAGGCCATAAGAATATGGTGCTTAAAAAAGTTAAATGATTTTAAGGTGTGAGAAATTCATACAGTGTGATGGAACAAGTGCCAGCGCACTAGTGTAAAATTGCTAAAAAAAAGAAAGCCTACTCCACTTCAACCGGTAAACTTCCATAGTTTGTTTCACATGGACCATGCAACAACAGCACTTTATTTACCAATACCGCAATCCATTACATGGAAAGAACATTGATAAGACTTACGTGTCGTATGTAAAGCTTGACAAAAGGCCATACATATTGCAGCAATAAATACAACAAAAAGTTTAAAAAAAAAAGATGTATAACTAGTAATAATATCTAGGTGAAAATGTCTATAAGGAATGTTAAATCAATAGTCCAAGAAATATTGTGAGCAACTACACTACAATAGTCAGCAGCCTTGATGTAAATCTTCCAGGTCATATATATGCAACCACCGTAAAGTTACGAAAATTGCATGGTTCAGCTTCAACTCTAAATAACTCAGTCATGTTCAGTAGTGACTTTCAAACCATTTTATTTAGGATCCACATACAACGGAAAGTTAAAACATCTATAATTCTAGTTTCCATAATGACTCATCATTTAATTATCATGGAATTGAAAAGGGCTTCTTATGCATCCTTGAGCACCAACCTTTATTGGTAATGGCAAGGAAGCATTTGATTGTGAATAAACAGGAATGGTTGAAGGGAGGAATAAAAGATCCAATTGAATGGGGGAAAATAATTTCACTGCCTCAAATACCAATCAAATTCTAATTTGAACGTGCTAATTGCCTATATTTCATGAGCAATCCATTATGGAGAAGTTAAATCTCGTTAACTCATGCAGTATATTGTGTGGTGGACCATTTCTCCAATCTAAGAATTTAGAAGAAATATCTAGCTAACATAAAGAATTGCAACAGGGGAAAATATGGAAATTAGAAACCAGCAACCCAGACAGATCATTTTATTATTAAAAGAACGATAACCTTTGAAAATAAAATTATAAAAAAAAAAACCTGATTCTAGATAACAAGTGATAATTTGGGCAGCAATGGCGGAGTATAAACACAAACATATGCTATTAATTAGCAATCAATTCAGCTCAGAAGTTCAATCACCTTCAAACGGAGACTGCGATGGCCCAAGAATCATAACATTGAAGTAGCGCATGTTATCTTCCGAAGGTGACGCACTGATCCCTGGAGCTGCAGGAGAACAAAAAACCAACAAAAAATTAAAAAACGGAAAAAAAAAAACACCGTAGAGATACAACTCCGCCAAATGACAATCAAACATAAAAAATAAACAAACTCAAACCCTATAAACAGCAGCTTCCAGCGCCGCTAACCGATTATAAACGTCCCCAGAGCAGGAAGAGAATTTACCTGGTTCGCTGAGAAGGCGCTGCGTTTCCTGCAGAATCACAAGATCAGAAACCGGAAAATTTCAGTGATACGTAGATCGCAGTAAGAAAAAAAAAACATGAAAACTCGACGGCTAGGTAGATGCAGCTATATTTCTAGCCGGCGCGCAATTCTTAAACTGTCTTGCGAAGAGTTATCTAACCTTAATGATTCTTCTTGGCAAATTGCTATTCGCCATCCCCACTGCTTTTCTCCTGTAGCAGCAGAAAGTGAAGCCGTGAAGGTAAAGCAAATCTGGGAAGAGATCCGAAAATAGAGCTGCAGCGACTCCAAGCAGATGACGACCTTTGGCATAACATCAGATAAAATAATAAAGAAGTGCATTTACATAAATACCAATCAATTAGTACTTATTTACATACCCAACACCTAAATTTTACTTCCAAGTACTTATACCACCCAAAATTTACATATTATATAAAAAAAATTTTAATTTAAGAATTGCGTGTAGATATAAATTTGGTTAAGAATTTTTAGAGCTCCCACTGAACCCAAATATATGTATTCTAGCGGTTTTACCCATTGCTCATTCTAAATTAAATGAAATGTAATTATTAATTCATCACTTAATTCATTATGAAAATTTAAATTTATTATTTGAAAATTATTCATTTAAATTTAAGGGTATTTACATACATTATACATAGCACACATTCATATGCATTTACAAATCTCACCCCTAAACTTTCATATTTACACACATCACACTCAAATCTTTAATTCACATCAAAAATACATATTTTTAAAAGTGAAATACCACAAAGTGTCAATTATATGAATATGAAAGTTACATGTTAGTTATGTAAATATGTAAGGATGGTAGGTTATACTCATTTATATGTACTAAATTAAAAGGAAATATACATTTTGATGTAATTTAAGCAATGATACTTGCGTGTATATCATTAAATGATGTATTTACATTTCCAATATCCAAATTTTTATAAGTTAGTATTAATAACATTTTTAATATGATTTTAAAATTTTAGTGTTTTGTGAATAAATATAAGATTTAAATATTAGATGCATGAGCGGCTAATTTTTTTCTTTCCGGTTTTAGGGGTACGAATTGGGTAAATAATGTTTTGATTTAGGGGCATTTACATACAAACAGCCCAATTCCTATGTATTTACATATCAAATGCCTAAACTTAATATCTTTCATTTTACCACTAAATCTTTCATATCACATAAAAAGTGTCATCATTTTTACTTTTAGAAGTGAGATGCACCTTTTCGTTCATAGAAAACATGGCATGAATGTAAAAATTGAAGTTTTGGTGTTAGATATGTTAAATACGTAAATTGATACACCGTCAATAATTTTTCTACACCCAGCACAAATCTCAAGATATGACACGGATCTCAATATAATATTGAAATGTTCAAGCTCTAATAAAAAGTCATTCGGGGCCTCGATTTCACCAAACTTACAACCAAGCTGACCGGCTCGACGAGACAAACTCAATGATAATAAGATGGATCCAACATGAACCAAATTAAGCCTCAATCAAGATATTAACCAGCTTTTAAAATCTTTCTCGACGCACTTGGAATGTGAAACGGGTGTCGAATCCAGTGAGTCTATGTTCGAATTGAGCATCTTGACGGGTCTAATCCAACGAACCCAAAATCGCTCAAAATTGACATCGTTAAGGCATTAAAATCCCAATCAAACAGCACCTGATTAAATGAAACTCTTTGAACTGTCTCATCAATGTGATTCGTACATGCATTAATTGCACATGAAACTCTATAAATATAGCTTATCGTCTCTCTTTAAAAAGGGTGGAGAGCTTGATAACGGATAAATTGCTTCAAACTTTGAGAATGAACTGAAGTTCAGTATCACTTTTTCCACAACCAAATGGAGCTTACTTACCACCAATTCAACATTCAACAAGAAAATACCCCGCTCACCATGTTATCTTCTAGTGATGAAACCATTCTTTTGTTGATATGAGCCGCCAATCTCCCTGACATTATAAGTTTCACTCATCCGTCTCATGCAGCTCACCTGACACTACCCCGCTTAACTGTCACTTCTACTGATATCATCCTTGACAAGCTGCAATGACTGCTTCGAGAAGATTTCCCTTTGTATAAAAGGTATCAATTCACTGTTCACCACCGTAACTTCTAAAAATCATCTTCTTTGGCTAACGTGGTTCTTTGACACCCTATCTCAGCGGGCTTCATACTCTCAAATATCAATTCCTACGAAGGGGTAACTAACTCATACGAGCACGTCAATCACTATGAAACTATCACGCACATTCATTGTGCCTTTGATGAGCTTCTCTGCTAAGTGTTCCCTACGACTCTTAAGGGTCAAGTGCGCATATGGTTTTACTCCCTTTCGGTGGCACCATAAGCACCTTCAATGAACTTGTCAATTCATTTATAGAGCAATTCATAGTAAATAGAATGATCATCAAAAATTCATCTCACCTGTTGGGAGTACGTCGGAATGAGGGGGAACCCCACAAGAAATACTTTCTCAGGTTTTCTACTGAAACCCACCAGATACCGGGAGTGGATCTAGAGATACTGAGAGGAGTTTTTCTTGGAGGGCTTCGATCATAACCTTTATACTCATCATCGATGTAGTAGACGGTTTGCTCTTATGCTGATATTGTCTATTGTGTTGAAGCTCAAATCTCTACAAATGAGGACATAAGTGCACGCAAGGAACAATACGCGTTATTGAGGTGAAAACTCAAGAATAACGTCAGAGATATCAGTAAAATTTTATAACGAAAAATGGTTCTAACTGTATGGGAATCACGAGCATCGACCAGAAAAAGAATACACGCCCCTCAACATGTCACGCGTCAACATCCAACTAGTCATCAATGATGAAAAGTTCATCATGTGGCCAAGATCGTTAAAAAATCTAGATAATGGAGACCAATCTCAATATTGTTATTTCCATCAAACGAAATGACATTCAACAGAAATATGTTTCAATTCAAGGAATAAATCAAACTTCTAATACGCCAAGGTCATCTTGATTGTTACTTATAAGAACGATGTGATGGAAATCATAAGAAAATCGTCAGGATTATCGAATGATAAGTACAACTCCAAATTATCTTATTTGGTAAAAGTATGACACATAAACTAATAACTTTAGTGATATTTTTCATGTTACTTTAAAAAATTATCATTTCTTATTATCTAAAAAAAGGTTTATTTGTGCATAAATTCTCAATGAGGGCAAGCAGCTGACAAGGTCTCTATCATTAATCCCAAAAATCAAGCACAAGAGGTAAGGCTCAATGAAGATGTATGATACTCCTGAGAGTCGAGCATGAGAGGCAATACTCAGTGGGAAACTACCGTTCCCCTCGAAGTTAAGCTCAAGTGGCTAAACTTGATGGGAAGATATGATACTCTTAGAAGTCGATCCTAATAGGCAATACTTAATGGGAAGCCATCATAGCCCTAAAAGTCGAGCCCAAGGGGCAATACTTAAAGGGAATATATGGTACTCTTGGAAGTTAAGCCTAAGATGCAAGACTCGATGGAAAAATATATAATGCCCCTCGAAGTCGAACTCAGGTGTCAAAATCGATGGGAATATCTGGTACTCTTGGGAGTCAAGCCTAAGATGAAAGTCTCAATAGAAAGCTATCATGCCCCTAGAAGTCGAGCTCAAGAGTCAAAACTCGATTGGAAGATCCAGTATCCCTGGAAGTCAAGCCTAAAAGGAAAGACTCAATTGAAGCTACCATGCACCTCGAAGACAACCCAATAGAGAAGCCTTGATGGGAATCTAATAATGGATGGGGGTCCTCACTCAAAAGACTCTAAGAGATCAAGTGGTTGACAGGGCCACCACATAAATATCTCAGAATGATACGTGCCTCAAAAGAAACATATACATCAAAGACTTAAGAAGGATACAAGACTCGTAATACATGGGTACATTGAAGACCTTCAAATGTTGCAAGCCTCAGGAGGCACAAGTACATTAAAGAACTTTGAAGGCTACAAGCCTCAGGAGACAGATATACATTAAATACCTCGAAAGGCTACAAGCCTCAAGAGGCACGTGTACGAAAAAGTCCTCTGAAGGTTACAAGCCTCAGGAGGCACAAGTGTATTAAATACATCAGAAGGCTACAAGCTTCAGGAGGCATAAGTGCATTAAAGACCTTAGAAGGTTAAAAGCCACGAGAGGCGCATGCACAAGAAATATCTCATAAAACTACAAACCTCATAAAGCACCAACATATTTCAAGCTTCTATAAGACATAAGTACGACAAAACTAAAAAAAGTCATGCCTAAGAGGATATAAATCTCATAAGGCATGAGCATAAAAAGTAATGTGATTATTTTTTATAAAGTGCATGTGCTAACTTTAATTGTAGAATTACACACAATTGAGATGTCACAACAACCTTTGAAGCAACATCATCGACGTACAATGAAATACATCTACAAATGCCATATTTGATAATTAAAATTGATATAAAGATCAACAAGAAATGGTACAAAGGCTGCAAGTGGTATGCTCATATTCAAATGACGGTGAAACATCTCTTCAAAATTCGAGTACTTCTATCAACTTTCAGGGATCTTTAGATATCGCCACCACAAAAAAAAAAAAAAAAATCTCGCGACTGAAAAGCTTGGAATTTTTCAACACATTCAAAATGCGCGAGAACAATACGGGAATCTCATGTGGAATGTGCATCAGAAAATTCCAATTTTTTTCGTCTCTTCTAGCATTTTGGGCGATTTTCCTTAAATGTTGTAATTTCAACAAGGTGAAATAAGATCTTGTTGATTGCCTGTCATGCAGAACATTGACGACATTCCTCTACACACTCAAGAAATAAGATATTGTTGTTCGTCTGCTACGCAGGATGTAGACAACTTTTTTTTTGCATCATAAAACGAAAGAAGATTTAGTACCTCGTCTGCCACGTAAGATAAAGACTTCCTCTGCATATTCTTCAAGAAAGAATACCTCATTGCTCACCTGTTACGTGGGACAGAAGTGACATTCTCATGCAACGCAACAAAACAAGAAAATCCTGTTAATTGTCTGCTACGTAGGCCGATGATGACTTTCTTCTTCTCAGAAATCTTAGATCACTATTACACATGTATGAGGACTCCACTTCGTTCCTTCTATCCTTTGTCTATTTATAAGCTAAAAAAATATTTGCATTTATTTACTAAAAAATAATGCAAGCAATTCATTAAAAAAAAAGACAAAAGAAATTAAAATAATAATTTAAAAAATTAAAATCTATCTAAATTCTCTTGTATTTTGTCTTATGCCTTCCAGCCTTTATCTTTTCACCGTCGTACATTTGACTTTCAACCTTTTAGCAATTGATCTTTTAACTCTCTCATTGCAAAGAAAAAAGAAATCTAAGTCCCAAAGTCCTCACTGTTATCCCTTTTCCAAATTTATGTATTAGCTTTGCAAGCTTTATTATATAATATCGTGGTATTAATTATATTAAAATATGAATATTATGCAAGGGGCTCATTTTCTGTCCGGACTCCTAACGTGGCTCTACGTGCGGCGGAGGTTATTCCTGAGTTATTTTCAGGTTATTTCTGGGTTATTTTCAATAATCAAAAAATAACCCTGAAATAACCCGCGATATTTATTTTTTGATTATTTTTGAGTTATTTCATGATTATTGAAAATAACCCAGAAATAATATGAAAATAACTCCGAAATAACCTCCGCGACACGTAGAGCTACATTAGGAGTCAACACAAAAAAATTTTCGTTGATGACTGGGAGAGGGATTGAATTCGGGAGTAAAGACGACACAATTAACTTAGCTGCTTATGTGTTCTTGTTAAAGCGCATACCTATGGTATTCAAATAATAATCTTAATTGTAAAACATAGATAAATATTATATTTATAATATAAATACAAATAAAAATATATGGCGGAGATATTATAACCAAGTAATTTCTAAATATAGATGTATATATCTGTAAAAATATATTGAAAAATAGAAAGTGATGTAGATTTTAATATTTTTGGAGGAAAATGTTGATATGGCTAGAAAATGGGGAGAAATTGGTACAAAGATCAACAAATTTCTAACATTTAATATGAATTTTGAGGTATAACACGGATCTCTAGGCAATCTTTCGAGCAAAAAATATTTGAAATTTGATAAAAAATCATCTAGAGCCCCGATTCCAGGAAACTTACAGTCAAACTAACTGATTGGGCCCGACATACCCAATGGTACCAAAATGAGTATAATCTGAATCAAATCAAGTCCTAATGAAGTCATTAAAATTTTTTTGGAAGATTTATGTGCAAACTTGGAAGGTGAAAACATATGCTGAATCTAGTGAGTTTATAGTAGAACCGAGCGACTTAATAAGTCAAATCCAGTGAGCCCAAGATCGCTCAATTATGACATTATTAAGACACTAAAAAATCCATGAAACGATGTTTGATTAAAAGAAACTATATTGACTGTCAAATGAAAGTGATTCATATTTCTGCATTAATTGCATTGAAACTCTATGAATAAAGCCCTACTCTTAGTCCTCTCTTAAAAAAGGGTGGAGAGAGCTTTAGAATTAAAGTAGAGTTTAAAGGTATGTTTGAGGTAACTGCAACTTATTGAATAATCTGCTGATAAACTGATTAAAGTTAATTTGCTCATAAGTTAGATGCGGTGGTTATTACAAATTTTTATTTTTTTTGGAAAAGCCAGATCAATGTCAGAAAGTTGAAAATGCTGTTTTCAGTTTTTTGAAAACACATAAGCTGTCAAAACGCAGTTTACCCAAACAGGTCAGGTGCATTTTCAAAACGCACAACACCAAAAAGTTGCCTCAAACGGACCTTAAGACTTCGAAAAGGAATTGAAGTTCAACATCACTTCTGCCATTGTTGATCGCCATTAATCATTGTCGGCCACCACCGACCACCATCGAGTACCTTCTGTCGGTCGCCGCCGATCGCTATCGGTCAATGCCCACTCCTTGCAATAAGTTCACCCACACGTCGGCTTTGTAATTCGAAACACTCTGTAACTCTTTATCGCTTATGTGACAAGATTTTTGTAATCATCAATTTATACTGAAATTGCGCTATACCCCATTGTTTTTTTTTCTTTTTATGGGTTTTTCACGTAAAAACTTCTGGTGTTTCTACTGATTTATTTCTCTCTTATGAGTGTGTGTGTTATCTTCGTACAACGTTAAGATAATAATTCATTACTGCATCGCCGCGAATCATCTAGCACTCATCATAAATACATATGAATTCAGTGGTATGTATGTAAGTCTTCACGCAATTAAATTAAATTTTAAAAATTTGGTTATCAAGTCTATTGATCGGAAAAACACTAATTTAAATAAATTCTAATTATGTGCCATTTAAGTTAATCAACTAATATTTTTTTGGTAATTAATTATATGATTTATAAATTAATGACCTATAAAGTATATTTTATAAAAGTCACATCGTTTTAATTTAATTTGGCTGATATTATTTTTTAGTTCATTTAGTTAATTAAACATCTAATCAATTATTGACTAGTTGGTTTCAAAGTATTGATTATTGTTTAATTAGTTTAGCAATTATAAGCAATGATTAATTAACTATTAATTGACGGAACTAAAATATTAATCTCATGACAGAGCCACTCAATCTACGAGATCCGGAAAAACCCTAATATTAGAATGCTGGGCTATCACCTTCTCTTGCTAATTTGTTATTAAAAATGGAAAATTTACATACATACCGCTAACTTCTTATGTGTTTACATATTTAACACATAAACTTAAATTCTCACCCACACGCTACCTTAATTTAGAGCAGTTAACGGGCTGATTTCGAGCCATCAGGGGCCGACTCATAATCCTCTTGAATGGATTGAGTTTGGATCGAAATCAACCCGTGGCTCATTATGCTTGATTTCGAGCTAGTTCGGCTCGTAATTGAAACGTGTTTGATCCGGCTCAAATAGCAACAAACTATTTCAAATTGGAGTTATTTAAATTCATTCCAGCACAAAATTGGCTCGATTTAGTTCAGATTGAAATCAACTGCACACGCAGCTCGTGGCTCATTATGTTTGATCTAGATTCTGGCTAAATTTAGAATCAATCTTCAAGTGATTAACGATCTTTCACTTAAATTTATGGCCATGCATGAAAAATATTTATTTTATTTCTTGAAGTTAAATAGTTATATTTTTTTAATGTGATATAAATATAAGAAATAAAATTTATGTTAGATATCTATGTAAATTTCCCTTTAAATTTTAGTCGAATTTAATCGAAAAACCATATATATCGAAACGCATAAATAAGTTTGATTGTCTGCATGTGCAGTTGTTTATTTGATTTCCCTTTGAACTGTTTCAGAATCCTTTCTTTTGTTTTCTTCGTCATTTTCATCAAACCTCCGTTTCCACTTTCGTGCTGCTCCGCTTAAGTTCTTCCTGCTTTCAAGCTTTATCCTTTCTTTCCCTGCAATTCCACCAAATTGCTCTCGTTACTGGTCCGGCAGCCATTTAACTCTTCTCTGGTTTCTCTCCCATGGAAATCTATACCCTTGATTCTCCCAATAGGTACCTGCACTTGAGAAAAGAGAGTCGACATAGTGGAAGGAGAAACCCTACCTTTCTTCTTGATGTTCGTTGTAGCGCAAACCTTAACATCGGAATAGGTTTCTGGTTTTAGAATGGAGTTCGGAGACGGGGGAGGCGGGGGATCACCTCGCGACGCATCGAATGGTGCTCCCAAGCATGCTAAGAGGAAGATGAAGACTCCTTCTCAAATAGATGTGCTTGAGAAGGCTTATACTGGTTTGTGGACTCTTGATTTATTATCCTTTAGTCAAATGTCACAAGATTTGGTTATTATAAGTTTATTTTGATGCGAGCAGTTTCCTCGAGGTTGTCGGAGCAGATGAGGCAGGAGCTCGCCCTGAAGACAGAACTCTCATCCCGGGAGATATCAATGTGGTTTGCCAACAAGAGGTTTCAGGGAAAACAAGCCCATTTGCTCAGGGAGTCTAAAAGGGAGGATGTGCATCCACTTCCAATTCACTCTAACCCGAGCGGCGGTGGAAGTGGATTTGTGTTAGCAGCCTGCCATTTCATGGATTCCACCATGAATGAAGCATCGGTTAGCGAAAGGTGTAGTGAGCTGATCCGGCCAATGGGGAAGACCCAAGTGCAGCAGCTGATGCCAAAACTACAGAAAACACATCATGAATTGGACCCATCGGTGCTGACTTTTATGGAGAGGAAGTTGGGAGGAAGGTTAATAGAGGACGGGCCACTTGTCGGAATGACTTTCGATCCTCTGCCGCCTGGTGCATTTGGATCCCCTTTATGCAGTGGCAATGGTATTTCATGTCTTGTGCAATTCTTTTGCAGTTTTTTGTTGTGCTCTCATAAATTTCTTAAGATTCTTCTCATTGTGCTGAGAGTCGAGTATCGTATCTTGAAATGCATAAAATTGTTGTTTGGAGCATTATGTTATATGTAAAATATCTTAGGCATATGTTCACTTATCCATTTAGTTCATTTACTATTGTTATAGATGAATAGCAGACACCAAGATGTCTTGAATTTGAATGATTTCATTCGGTTGATCTGTAAGTTTTGACTTTTAGGAAAGTCAGTCTAGTCCTTAGCATTGACTTATGAAATTGTGATTGTCGGCTGCTAGAACCTTATGTAGAAAGAGTTGAAAGTGTAGGACGTTTGACTTGCTGTTATTATCAGTGACAGAGCAAGGAATTTGGAGCGCCACATATTGAATTTTACTATTAATAACATCAAACTGTTTTGTTTTATTAATTTATATCCATTTTATATAAATGCATAGTTAATGCAGTTTTATTCGATTTTTGCATCAGCAATTTTTGTAGAGGTTTTTATTTTTTTGGAATTTTTTTGGCACAAAAATGAATTTAGACAGCTCACGAGAACGAATAGATGTTGCTCATGAAAATTAGTGTTTCAAATAGTTTGTACAAGGGCTGGGTTATACTTATCCTTTACCATTTATAAGGGCTGGGTTCTACTTACCCCTTACCATTTATCTTGTGTAAGACTAACCATATGACTATTGAATCTATTATTGTTAGAGTTAATGTTAGGGACATACTGGCTGAGTTGTTATTTAATATGGTCAGTGGGTGTAAGTTGGTACAAGTGTTTCTCTTATAGTCTAAGCATCATCATCATCGCTAGCGCTATCCAACTTTTGTGGTCCAACTTTATGGATGAAGGGAAACAAATTTATGTAGAAGTGATTTAAAGAATTCACAATTAGCAGATTTTGATTTTTACATGTTATCTTTTAAATTTTTGTCACTTTTTTGTATTTAACTGACTATGATAAATAACAGAAGTGACTGAGATGTCTACTGTTCGACACTTACTTTCTTTTTAGAGGATCAAGGAGATTGTACTTCCTTTTGGAACCATTTTTGCTGCGATCATCTCTTAGATGATGATCTAGGCTCCATGTCCTCGATGATGCTTCTTTGTTTTGGACATGTCCAAAATAATCTTAGGCATGTGACCTCCATTGTACCAGAACTATGGTTCAAAATCATGTATTCCTTGCATTCCCTATTATGGCTTAAATACATATGTTGGTGTTGGGGCTGTTTGATCGGACGCATCAAGATACATTATAGGAATACAATGCAAGGTTTTTAGGTTTGCAAGGGTTTACGATTTTTTGATAATTGATACGAAATAAAATGTTTATAAAATAAAATTTGAGCTATTTGAAAGACCTTAAAATCCTCCTTTTCCTCCATGTATTTGAAATGTTGTCAAATTGACACATTTCATTCTTCTGGTTCTGGAAGACCTACAACCTCACTACTTTTGCTATTGACTAAAAATTCTAACTCGGCTTACACCTTATGTAGAATTGAGGCTTTTGCTTTGCATCCCACTCCAATGTCAACAATAGATCCAACTCTGCCTCCTTTTGCTTCAACTCTAGATCTCGCTCTGATTCATCCTGTGCTCGGACTCTAAATCGAACTTCGGCGCTGTTTGGGGCAGCTGCAAGTTATTGAATAATCTATTGATAAGCTAGATGCGGTGACTATTACAAATTTTTACTTTTTTGGAAAGCCAGACCGCTTTTAGAAAGCCGCCACCACACCTAGATAGGTGCAGTGTGAAAATGTTGTTTTCAGCGTTTTTAAAACGCATAAGTTGTCAAAATGCAGTTTATTTAAACATGTCAGGTGTGTTTTCAAAACGCCACCGCACCAAATAAGCTGCCCCAAATGGGCCCTTCATCACCTTTTCAAGTTACGACTTCTGATCGTGCCCCACCTTCTCCTCTGGTACTATCCACCAATCCTTCTTGCTTTCAAATTTTGCCTTACCTCTTCCTCTAGCTCCTTGTTGCTTTCAGATCTTGCCTTACCCCTTCTCTAGCTTTCACTTTAGGCTCCACCTTACCCTCAATGAACTCTGATTTGTTTTTTCTTCTCTATGGATAAAAAAAATATTCATAATGTGCTACCTTAATGTACAAGTGGGTCCACAAAGTGTTGGCCATGATTGTATTAAGTTATATTGGCAGTACTTTGTTCTAGTAAAATTTTTTGAGTTGCCACTTTGCAGACATTTGATGAAATTGGAATGAGGATGGCATGCATAAATTGAGAAATGATCAAATTTTTTGTTGTAATTATATGAAATTTTAAAGACCTTAACCCACAAATAATTATAAAATGTAAATAATTGAAAACAATTTCATCACAACTATCATCATCAATAATTCTCAAATAATTATAAAATAAAAATATATTAAAAGGGTATAGTTGGTAGAGTATAAAGATTATAACTATATGAATATTGCCAAAAAAAAACTGTCCCAAATGTTAATTTAGGGCATCCAACTACATATAAGAACTCATCAACCATAGCCTGAGGTTAAGTTCCCCACTTAAAAATAATACATTATAAATAAAATAAGATGAAGGATGCCTCTTAGAGAATGCCTTACAGTCCTCTCACTGAAGTTCTAATAATATTCAAAACTAAGTTTAAAAATATAATTAATTTGGTATGTTAATTGAACTATCATGATCATTCCTCTCATTTTGATAACGGTACTCTTCATAACATTTCCTATAACCTCCTCAAACTCAGAATCCATTAACTCTACAAAAATAAATAAGTACAAAATATACCAATAAGTTAAGAAAATATGAACATTTCATGTGAAAATATATCAGCTAAATAATATGAAGCAACTCAAATGCATGCCTCATAACTTGTTTCCCATGTAACCAATCTTTAGTACACACCAACGTCTCTACAATGTCACGCTTTAGCGCGCTTCAATATTTATCAAGAATTCTTCCACTATTACTAAATGCACTTTCTAAAGGAACAATTAAAATTGGTATGCGTAAAATGTCACGAGCCATTGCAGACACCTCTAGAAACCTATATTGATCGCACTTCCAATAATGTAAGATATCTAAATCCACTTTTCTATAATTATGGGCTCATCTAAATAAAGCTCAAGCTTAGATTTTCTCGGCATATTATCTCCTTCATCAAAAGAGTGAAAATCCTTAATAAAAATCAATGAATCGAGGTGAACATTAATATATTAAAAAAATATAAGGATCACCTGTAAATATTGAGATTTGATAATTGTTAAGTTCTTGCTTTTGAGTTTTCGTTATGTTTTATTCGAGCTCTTTTTGACATTTGTGACGATGAATCTTGAATGTTTGACTTTGAATATTTTTTAATAATAAGAACATTTTTTCCTCACATGTGCAACTTCTCCTATATAATCGCCCTCATAAAGTTTCTTATAGCTCCATTTAACGAAGTTAAACTTATATCTTGATTCAAGATAACAACTATTTCTAGTACCATATAGAAATTGAACCAATATTTCTAAAATTTTGAAAGCATATTTATTGGCATCTTTTTGATATATACTCATAAGCACTTGAACTCTCATGCTTTAGCGTTGCAGAAGCAATAGATATAGTAGGAAAACAATTGTTTGCAGTCAAATATTTTGTGCCGGAGAATACATGGGTGATTAGAAGTTGCATATATTTATCATTTTTTTCCGCTCATAATTTGTTGGACAATTCTTGTAGTTTGAGTCACGTAACTCTAAATACATAAAAACATAATTGTAATAGATAGCACTATCAAGCATAATAAAAGTTGAGTTCCTTCTTGTAGGGACATCTTGCCTCAATCATCTTTTCTCATGAAGATAATTTTGTTTTATGCATTCCAAAAATTTTGTTTACTTGCTTTAGAACCTTTCACATATTTATTGCTATCACGAACCTTTAAGATTGATTTGTCAATCTCTTTCAAAACATACTTTGACATATAAATTTATATATATGCACAACATCATATATGAAAAATTTCCCATTATAAAGATGACCACCACTTAAATTCAAAAGGTTTTCCAAGAATTCAACACATTCATTGTTAGTTGAAGTGTTATCCAACGTAATACTAAAAATCTTACTATCAATTTTCCATTAAATTAAATATCCTCGCGGGAACAAGCTACAACCGGACCACCACTTGATCCCCTGGAAGGAGATTGCCACTTAAGATGAGTTACAACTGGAGTACCACCTTTCTTTGGATACAACCCTAAAAAGGACTCCGACGGTTGTCTCGAAAGAAAACATAGGTAAAAACTCTCTTTGAAACCCTAATGCAATACATATATTAGAACTGACTAGAAAGGAATGAAGGATTAAATGGAACATGCTGTACATTTGAAACAAATTAGAAGGGGAGTTGCTCAGTTTGATTTGGGCCTGTTCGTGCAGTCCCTATCCCTTGTACAGGTCATGAGAGTATTGCATGTGGGACTCTATCCTGCCTCTGCTTTGGATGTCCCACGTCAGTGCGGGAGGGACGCCCGCCTCAGTACTTATGCAAAACTTCTTTAAAATCATATGCAGACTCAAACCGTGGATGTATTGCTGTGACGATATCAAGGCTTTGTAAAGTTTAAATTGTTGGATTGGTGCTCTACTGTTAACTTATTCTCTTCACTCTTAGTTTAAATAATGTGGATTTCTCGCTGACTTGTATATCCTTCATGGGATAGCTTGAAATATTTGATTTGTTTTCTCAAATACATAAAGACAGTCGAATTGTTTTAGACAAATGAAGTAATAGTTATTTTGGTATAATTTATTAAAAATAAGTGGATCTAAAAGATTCTCTACTATTGGAGATTTGTTTGTGGATTGATTTTCATCTTTGATCATTATTTTGTACCCACTTAGCTGTGCTACCATCTAATCTTTCTTTTTTCTAAACAATTCTGCATGAATTGTAACTGTTACATATTGGCATGAATGACACTCGTCATCATCAGCGATAAGCAAGCTGTTACATATCGGCATGAATGACACTCTTCATTATCAGCGATAAGCAAATTGTCGAATGCCAGCTCTTTTGATTACTATTCTCCATTTAATCATTTTAAGGCGTAGGGTGTTGGTTTTGGATTGTTTTTAATAATTGGGAACTTCTTATGGCCATTTTAAGTAAATCTAAATTAGCTCCCAAGATATTATCTACACTACCTTGTTTTTCTTAAATTGTTCACAGAGAATAGTTTCACTATTATATGAGCAATTGAGCATTATACATGCTTGTGTATTTTGTACTTTGAATTGAAATGCCTTGAATTTGGAAATAAGATTGATATCATCGGTATTACGTACAATTGAGCTAATTATTAATCAACTACGAGTCATGAGTATAATATTAGAAAAGGCTTTATGCACTTTGTTTTTTTTTTATCCTTTCATGAAATAATTTGATTGGAAAAGCATCAAGCTACCATGTTGTTTTATTATCTTTAAAAGTTTTTGAAGATTTCAATTTTATACTTGTTAGAAGTTATATTATGAAATAATTTATTCCTGTGAGAAGTTATTTCCTCAGGAGCTATTTTCTATTTTATATTTGTTTCCTTGGATTATGAGCTTTTTCCTTTATCGCCAACTAATTAATATGAATTGATTAATTGAAGATACTAGGTGATATATATTTTATTTCACATTATTTCTTTTTCATTATCTTTCTTATTCTAAGATTCATGTAAGGGTTATTTTTACCCATTCTCATATCAATAAAAATCTCGCTTTATTCCACATTATTCAGAATTTCAACATGGTATCAGAGACATATTTCGTACCATAGCCACTAGTCCTTCCAGATCCGCCGGACTCCCTTCCTGCCATCCTCTGTGTGGGAAGGGATGGCGCCTCATCTTGGTATTTGAAATTTTTCTTCTTCACCTTCTTTTCCCTCCTCGTCAGCACTAAAGGAGATGTCATCGCTGGCCTCTTCACATGCGCCATGTCCATCGTCTCCACCATCGCCAATTTGATGCACGATTTCAAAACCGGTCATCTTCTCTCTCCATCTCTCTGACGATGGTTATTGGTGGCGGTGAAGATGATCATTTTATTGTGAGTTTCGACAAGATGTTGATTGATTTAGTTCTGACAGTATTAAGCGTATCGCTCCCCGACGTACCGGGGTTCATAAAGGCCCTTGATGGAGAGCTCGGACGAATGTTACCATCGCCGTCTCTCGCCTTGGAGGCCGCACCTCTTTCACGAGGAAGCTCAACGATATTGAGTTTGGCTGCATGCTTGTCGCGATCCTCCATGAGAATGATGTCTTTGACAAAGAAGTCGTTGCGCGCACCGCACTAGCTTGTGTCACTCTTCGCTCCATTGGCGAGTGCTTGTTTATGTTCTATCATAACCCTAGCATCGATATGCTTCTTATGCCAACTGAGCTTGACCTCGACCTTATCTTTGGGCAAAAATCTTCCATTACAGATCTATAAGTCTGATCACAGAGCCTGTAGGTCAGCTCATTTAAAGGCCATGGAGGTTACCAAGGAAGCAGGAATTTTGCTCTCTTATGACACAAACCTTCGGCTGCCATTGTGACCTTTAGCATCAAAGGCGAAGGAACAAATTTTTAGCATTCGGGACCAGGCTTATGTCATTGAAGTTAGTAACATTGAGCTTGAATTCTTAACTGGTAAAGATTGAGTGGAAGATGAAGTGACCTTGTTGTGGCGGCCTACCTTGAAGCTTATGTTCGTCACCCTTGGCGAGAAGGAGAAGAGTTGGAAGTATTATACTAAAAATTTCTGAGGAGCGGGTATAATTCTGCTAGTTATGGTGCAAATGCAGGGTATGGAGGAGCTGTTTCTACACATACAGGTCAGTCTCTCGGTGTTGCGGTTGGAGGTATTCTATTTGTGAAACTCCACTCACAGCAGATCCTCCTCCAGAATTTTTTCTTGCAACAAAACTTCCATTGAAATTCTTCTTGCAACAGACCCTCCACCAGTGTTTTTTTCCTGCATCAAACCTTTCTCCAGAGCTTTTGTCTGCCACAGTTCCTTTTCCAGAGTTTTTTCTACAATAGTTCCTTCTCCGGAATATTTTCTGCAGCAGACCCTCCTCCAGAGCTTTCCCCGCAGTAGGCCTTCTCCGAAACTTTTTCATGCATCTGATTGTTCTCGAGAGCTTTTTTTCCCTATATTAGGCCATCATTCAGAGCTTTTTTCCTGCATCAGGATCTCCTTTAGAGCTTTTTCTGCACCAGGTCCTCCAACGAAATTCTTCGTGTTGCACGCTCTCTTTTGGAGCCCTTTCCTGCATCAAGCTTTTCTCCGAAACTTTTTCCTGTATCAGGTCCTCCAGAACTTTTTTCCTGTATCAGGTCCTCTAGAACTTTTTTCCTGCATTAGACCCTCCTCTAGAGCTTTCATTGCGACAGACTATCCACCTAAGTTTTTCTGCAGCATGTCCTCTTCCGGAGCCTTTTCCTGCAGCGAGGCCTACCTCGAGAGTTTTTTTTCTCTGCAGGCCGTATCCTGCAGCTTTTTTCAATTGTTTGTATACTCAGACGTTGCGGGAACTGCAATCAAAGACAATCACAATTGTCTACTTCTCTCAAACCTCCTTTGCAACATTACCTGTAGGAGTTTTCCGTCTACCTACAAACACTACAGGAACTGCAACCGCTGTTGTTTACTTCCCTGCAAACTCTTTTGCAGTCTTACATGTAGGAGACTTCCATCTACCTACAGACACTGCAGAAACTGCAGTCAAAGACAACCGCAGTACGAGACGAAGACTTCAACTTCTACCTCTTAGGATCTTCTTGCCCATTTATGTTTTCAAATCTAAGTTGAACATGGGTTTTAACCATGTTTCAACTTGAATGAGAGTGTTAGAAGTTATATTAAGAAATAATTTATTCTTGTGAGAAGTTATGATGAATAAATTATTTTCTTATATTAGGAGTTATTTCATTTCTTATTTATATTTACTTCCTTAGTTTAGGAGTTATTTCCTTTCCTATTTTAGGCTTTTGATTTTCTGTTATTTCTTTTATCTCCAAATAAATAATATGAATATATAATTGGAGATATTAGGTGATATATCTTTCATTTCATATATATTTTTTTATCATCTTTTCTATTATAGGATTCGTGTAATGGTTATTTAAACCTCCTCATATCAATGAAAATCTTATTTTATTCCACATTATTCACCACATTATTCTGAATTTCAATAATACTCTTTCTTGTCTTTATTTATTCTTTATTTGGTCAATTTGAATCGCCATTTACGCTTTACAATGTAGTTAATCTTGACTATTTTAATCTCTTAAACAGAAATGATGAGGAAGCTAAAACGGCCAACTCGTGCTCCTAAAGCCAAATCTATTTTGAAACAGAATGCAGGGTCCACTAAGGTCTGTATTTTATTCGTAACTTGTTTTTCCTTGCTCATAACTTTTAATTGGATTGGCTAGTCAGGTTTGGTGATTCATGCTTTTGTCCTTTTTTAACACTCCTTACAATGTAAATGACGCGTTTCTCTTTTTTTTTTAATTGTAACAGATGCATGAAAGAAAAATCTTATTGGTTTTGGCATGGATTGGATTTGAATTCATTAAATTTTTGAGACCCAATTTTGGATTCTAAGTTGGGTTGGAGCGAGGTTGAGGGTTACCGTTGGGTTAGAACTTGTGGAAAAATTAGTGAAATAATTTAATTTTGAATTTGATTACTTCTAAGGTGTTCTCCAGAAGCTGTTAAGTTCTGGTGCCTAGTTTTAACTGTATGAAGAAAACACAATACACAAACTTAGTCGTGGATTGGTTTGGGGACTGCAATTTATTTCTTGTTGCCCTAATTTTTCCTTTATCCAAAATATAAAGTTGTCAACTTTATATTTTGTGTGAACAAATTTAGGCTATAAAAAATTCTACTATAAAATCTTTGTGCAGTGTACTGTGGGGAAAACTATGTTTTAAAAAGATATAATGAAAATTTGGACCTTTACTTACAAGACTAGAAGTAAGACTCCAGATGGATAGAACGATAAGCTACATATTAATGATTAAAAAAGCTCATAAAATTAAGGGCAATTTATTGATATGCTATAAACCAATTCATAAATGTCATAAACCATCATCAATGAATATTTAAAAAGAAAATTTAAACTTAAACCCTAAAAAAATAAATAACAATTCATTTACATGCATACTACATTAGGCTTATATATTCACATTTCTAACACCTAAACTTTCATATTTACATTCATAACATTCAAATCGTTGATATGACAAAAAATACCACTATTACTAACTTTTTAAAAGTGAAATACTCCTTTTCATGCCTAGGTTTATATAAATATAAATATGGACCTTTAGGTGTTAGATATGTAAATGTAAATACAGAAGAGTTGTGTGGTATATATATGTAAATTTCTCACAAAAAAAAAGAAACACTGAAAACAAAAGAAAATGAAAATCATTCAAAAGGATAATAAAAATTGTTAAAAATAAAATGAATAAAACTTAAAGAAAACTTAAAATTCAAGTTTAAATGAAGGAAAATAAAATATATTAAAAATAAAATAAAATTTCTGTAAAAAAAAGAAATGAATAAAGAAAATCAGAATATATGTATTAAAATAGAAAATGATAAAAAAATAAAAATAACTAAGAAATTTTTGAGTGTTGAAAATGTCTGTCGAAAAATAAGTCTTGTTTTGACATTGTCGTCTGAGTCATCTTAATTTAATTAAGTTGTATTCATATTTGTTTATTAATAAAAAAAATTAGTTGTTATCAATGTGAGACATGTCAACTTCTCGAACACACTAAAAATAGTCATCACATGATTCATTATAAACTCTCACATTTTTTTCCATAATTCATGTTGATATTTGTGGACCTTTAAATGTGAAAACTCCAAGTAGGATTAGATGATTTCTCATTTATTGACGATCACAGTAGAATTATTTGGGTATTCTTAACTAAGAAAAAATCTTAACTCAAATCTTCCAAACATGTGATGCATTGATCTAAAATTAATTTCAATGCAAAATTCAGTTCTTAAAACTAATAACACAAAGAAATGTTTCAACTTAATCCTTGGGTCCTTTAATTTGAAAAATAGAATCATTCATCTGAATTCATGTATTGATATCCCATAATAAAATGAGATTGCAGAGAGAACAAACATTTACTTGAACTATTCTACTCAATTTTGATTTCTTATCAAGCTCCAAAATATTTTTGGAAGCAGTTTTTATTGCAACATATCTGTTCAATCGAAGGTTTACTCACTTATTTAACTTCAAAATATTACTTCATGTTTTGATGGTTACTTATCCACACTGAGAGTTTTCTCTCCTACCACATATGAGAGTTTTATCTTCTAACTATACCACTTAAAATTTTTTATTGTGTATCATTTGTTCACATTCATTTCCTAACCCGAACCAAATTTTATTTTAAATTTGTCATGTGCATTTTTTTTGGTTATGCCTCCAACAAAAAAGGGTTATAAGTGTTTATCTCATGTTACCATAAAATGCCACAACTTAATGTCACATTTTTTTGAGATTCATTTGATGACACCTACATAGTAAACTCACCTGCTTCTCTTCCTCTTCTTCCGCCCGACACCTACTCTTGCCGAGGATCTCCAACCAACCTAACCTAAAGTTCACAACAAAGAACTTGTGTGTAAACTAGGAGAAAGAAAAATCTTGAGCATGTGGAAGACAACTTGCAAAGATAGAACTACTTCAACCAAAACCTGAATCTACATTTTTTTGAAATTTCGGGTGACAAAGTCTATTACTCATGAATTATCGCCTTTCTCCTCTGATGCCTCTTGACTAAAGGAAAATATGTTGAGATTTTCATACCTCTTTTGTATTGTTTTTAATGATATTGCACTTTAAAGAAATGTATTTTTAATGTTTTGTTGCAGGAATGATGAATTAGGGTCAATGGAACAAAAAGATGCAAAAATGAGCGAATTTGGAGCAAAAAAGACCAAAATGTGGAGAATTGCACTAGGGTGCCGACGCGCCATCGAGGCCGCCGACGACAAGCTTTTCCCGAGGCTACAGGACAAATTCTACAGAAGGCCGTCGACAGAGCCATCGAGGCCGCTGACACGGCGGGATCGATGGTTATGTGATATGTACAATGGATAAGGCCGGATTTTGGAGGGGTGCGTAAGCAACTTTTGGGAAAACTCATCCACATCTTTAAAGAGATTATTTTAGCCGAAAATAGAGAGACTTTTGGAGTCCTGAAGGTTAGAAAGGATCCATTAGTGCGTAGAAAGCTTGCTAGAGCGTGTAACTGTGAGGAATTCTTCAAGAAATTGTAAGAGTGGAGGGAAAGTGAGAGATTTCTTCCTCCTTACTACTTCGAAGAGGAATTC